CCTGTCTGATCATGACATGCGTCAGTCTTACTTCACACCTCTCAATTGCTATCCTGTCTGATCATGACATGCGTCAGTCTTACTTAACACCTCTCAGCTGCTATCCTGTCTGATCATGACATGCGTCAGTCTTACTTCACACCTCTCAGCTGCTATCCTGTGTGATCATGACATGCGTCAGTCTTACTTATCCAATTACCTCCAGTGCTTGCCTTTCATGGGACTACTGTTTGACCGATTAAAAACAGAAACGTTTGAACTCCCCCCTTAGCCCCGCCCACCGGTGTAACAAGCACAGTCAACCAATGCCACCCCTCACTGCCATCATGGAACGACGATTCCAGGAACTCTTTTCTCAGCGGGCCGTACGATCAGGGCGGCAGGCATTGGGCAATCTAATTTCACACCTTTGGCTTCTGGCTACCCAGGAAAGTTTCTGTAGTGGCTCGCAACTTGAGCACTCTCACGGGCAGTCGTGAGATTTCACACCCACACTCCACTGACCATCTGCATCGCTCAGGGCTCACATGATGGAGTAACATCTACCCCCAAATTGTACCCCTACTCCCTTTCTTGGGTGGTTGGCGGGTGCTCTGGTGTGTTCAGCTCCTTCTTTCCTATCAAACATCTATCGTCTTTATCTCCCCTCCTTCTATTTTGTGTTTGTTACTCTCTTGTAACACCTCTAATCTTCGGCACTTCTATGACCTTATTGTGTTGTAAGTGCCATAAAACTCTTGCTAAAACCCAAAAAAAAGCTGACAGGCAGAGTGTGAATGTGGCCCCCTTAGTTACCTCCCTTGTGGTGATGGGGGACACAGAAAACACATGCAGGAGAAATGAAAGTTTTGGAAGAAATTCTGGTGAACGGCGGGGCTGGGCATTGTGTATAGACACACACCTTTCCGGGGCTAGAGATAAACATCAGCGAATATGTAGGCCCTACTCCTGCTAGTGCTTTCTGATACATGGACATGGTGTACGTGTGTGTGTGTACGTGTATGTGTGTGTGTGTGTGTGTACGCGTGTGTGTGTACGTGTGTGTGTGTATGCGTGTGTGTCAGTGTGTGTGTTTCCGTCGAGCCACCACCAGTTCTGGGCTGTTGACACCCTTCAGATTCCCCACTGACGTCTGTTGTTGATCTTTATATACGTGGTATGTTCTATATATCTCTCTGTATTTGCCTGTTCCCACACATCTGTTGTTGATCTAACAGCGATGCCCTCGTAACCAATTTGGCCGAATCGTTCTATATATATGTACGTGGTATGTTCTGTATCTGTAGTTACCTGTTGTGACAGTGAGTGCTGTGGGTGGCTGGAGGGTGTCCCTGTGTTAGCATGAGGCTGCTTTTGCACACATCATAAATTGCGAAATATGTCCCTTTTGTGCTTACTTTTGCTCACACACATTGCTGAATATCCCTGTGCTGGCTGCCCTAACACAGTATCACATCGCTGCTGGCTGCCCTAACACAGTATCACATCGCTGCTGGCTGCCCTAACACAGTATCACATCGCTGCTGGCTGCCCTAACACAGTGACACATCGCTGCTTGCTGCCCTCACATATTGACACATATGACACATATTGACACATATGACACTCCACTACCCGTGAGTTACAAAGTTCTGTCTGTTCAGTGCCTAGTTTTGAGAAATTTGACGTTCAACATTTTGAGTTTCACGTGTCAAGCTTTTTCGAATGCTTTTTTAAAAATATCTTGATGACGACCCAGATTGATCTTACAATGTTGACAGAACAGAAAGAACATTTGGTGTCTGACCTCGTGGTTTTGGTAACTCAGGACGGCCAAAACTGTCAGATAGAACTTTGTACTTGTGAGGTAACAATATGTGCTGAATAACCCTATTTTTACTTTGCACACTTGTTGCTGAATAACCCTATTTTTACTTTGCACACTTGTTGCTGAATAACCCTATTTTTACTTTGCACACTTGTTGCTGAATAACC